ATCAAGGGTTTTCAGGAGTAGAACTATGCTTGGAAGGATTAGAATGTTGTTGGTAAATATCAGTGAACATTGATTTGACTGGCCACACACAAGCCACTGAAAATATATTTCCATTGAGAATAATCAAAATTTACAGATAGGCAAGTAAGACAAATGAGAACTTCTTAGTGACAGATGGCATAACAAGGAGCCATGGTCTCAAGTTGTGGCGGGAGAGGTCCAGGTTGGATATTAGGAAAAACTATTTCACTAGGAGGGTGGGGAAGCACTGGAATGGGTTGCCTGGGGGGGGAGGCGGGTGTGGAGTCTCCATCCCTAGAGGTGTTTAAGTCTCGGCTTGACAAAACCCTGGCCGGGTTGATTTAGTTGGGATTGGTCCTGCCTAGAGCAGGGGGCTGGACTTGAAGACCTTCTGAGGTCTCTTCCAGCTCTATGGTTCTATGATTCTATGAGCATCAAAATCTAGTGATTTCGACTTTTGAATTAGCCTTGTTGATGAGAGATGCCATGATCAGAGCCATCTCTAATGTAAACTGCTCCCCTAGCTGAAGGAGGGAGTGTCTTGTTTATTTATAGCTACGGCTGCACTCATTTTCTTTGTATAGCATTTATGGGGTAATATAAAAAATGTTCTTGGTGCCACACACCTCTGTTAAAAGGCAAAAAGCTATTTTGTGCAGTAGTGACGTAGTGCCCTTTGGTATGTCTGGACAGTTAGTTAGCATGCCAGCTATGCAGACGTGAGATTTATAGAGACAGATTACTTCGTCTCACCTGCTGACCTGAAGCACAATGGAAAATTAAACAGTCACAATCATAAAACAGGCTAGCAGCAATGGGTAGCTGCCTGAAAAGTGCAACTGATTCCAGAACTGCCAATGGTGCTTAAAGCAAAGAGGAATCGCAAGGAACATTGTGGCAAATAAAAGCATTAAGGAGGAAATCGCATGCAAGAAAATGTCACTCGTGCCTTATTCTTCAAGCAGCATATGAAACCATGGCATCACTGAATAAATCAACCAACCACCAGGAAAAAATCTACCCCCCCTTCTTGGAGTCAGAAATAGATAACCAGAATCTCATCTGCATCTCACCAAGGAGCTGCAGCTGAGCGAGCCCAAAGTTTTCAAACATTAGATCCTATCTAGCAAGAAGATCCAGTGATAGCTGATTTAATCAGCTAGTTGGATGAGAGAGCTAACTGTTGGTTTGCTCTTCTGGGATGGAACTATTCTAGACCCATTTGGAAAAGCTGCTTCGATTTACATCTGTGCAAAGCCCCTGTCTTCTGATTATTCTCTGAGTCACTTTTTTATGTTCCTGTGGAAGCTGGTTTAAAAGAAAAATGGAGGGGGAACTTTGCAAATAAAGAAGAACCCTTTTTTAAAAAATCAGAGATGGGCAAAATTAATTAAAAAACATAGTTACCCATGTTTAACTCCCATTCTCTTCAAACAACACCCTCAACTTCATTCCCATTGTCTTCACTGGAGCTAGTGGGGGTGGAAGGAGAGGAAAGAAAGTTTCATAGACATTTCCCTAGGGTTTTTTTTTTTTAAATCTGAAATTGCAATATTTGGATTTGCTCTGAAACTACGTAAAACATTTCTATGGCATTTTGCCTGGATTTGTTGTAAGTTTTGAATCAAAGCACATTAAAGTGTTCTGTTCTGATAAGGTTGAAATGAAACTGGCTTGATTTTTCATTTTGAAACAAATTTGGTCAGATTGACACGTTCCCACTGAAAATTTTAATCTTGATTTACAGCCATTTTCAATGGGAAAAGAATTTCCATTGGAAAATGTTAATCCAGCTCTACCTGTGATCAACACATAAAACACAAAAGGGATAGTACCAGGTAGCTAAAAACCATACAGATTTCAGCTTCTACCAGTGCCAGCCTGATGATTATCATGGCTAAGAGCAAATAGCAACAAAATATAAACAAATGATAAAGTTCATTTGCATTCAGATTTTATTAGCATTCCATACGCAACCAGCATTTACATTGCTGAAAGTATAAAAATTCCATGGCGAATTTAAATAGCTTTTCTTACTGATAAGGTCCCTTTTGATCCCTGTATTGTCAGAGATCACTGAAAGACAAATGAGAAGTGGCATATTTTTCAAAATTAGACGCATGGAAGTGAATAAATTTCTTTGTACGTGCCATTAGAAAATATTTATCGCCACATACTCCTAGTAGCAATTTCCCTTTCCCCAAAAATCTTCTCCTTTTGAAAGTCACAACCTGTTGCTATGGAGATGATTATTATGTCGCAAACAGACAGGTATGACTTCATGTGGGGAACAAGTAAGCGAAAGAGATAAACTTATATGACCCCATGATGTAAGCAAATCTCTTACTGAGAAGTCTGTTATCATAGGGTGAGAGTTTTGGCTTCAGTTTCTAGCCTTCATGATTGCAAAGAAAACCATATGCAAAGTGATGCGATGCATTTAACGATGATACTTCCACCTTGGTAAAGTGCTTTGGGATTGATGGATGAATGAGCGCTATAGAAGAGATAGGTATTATTAATGATGATGATGTTGTTGTGTTAGTTAGAAACGTAGCTAGCCATTTGCTCATGAAGTTGTGATGACTGTACATGCATCTCCATGTGGTTTACATATGGAAACAGAGCCCTATTGTAGGTCGTTACACACATATCCCCACCTGTCAAAGCTGCTAACCAGGCCCACTGACAGTGCGGGGGTGGGAGGGACAGCTGCACAGGGGCCCGGCGTTTCAGCTGGACAGAGGCCTGGTGTTTCAAAGGGGCCTGGAGCTCCTTTTGGTGGTGGCTGGGAGCTTTGGACCCCTTTGAAATGCTGTGGGAATGTCACTCCATCACTCCACAGGTTGCTGAGGGAGGACCCAGTGCTGCACTCCAGGTGATGCTAAGAGCTGACTGTTCTTAGCCCCGCTTCTTCTGCCAGAGGCTCCACCCCTTCCAGGGGCACGGAGCCGGCCCTCCCCATACTTGGCCCCCTGACCGGCGGTGGCTGTCCCTGCAGCTGCTGCTGCTAACCATTTCACCGCTGTTCACATTAGCAGAAACATCACCCATGGGTGTTGTCGGCAACTCTAATCAGCATTAATCCATGGATCCGATCCAAAGCCTATTGGTCACAATGGGAGTCGTCCCAATGACTGGTATGGGCTTTGGATCAGGTTTGGTATGTTCTTTACACCCTGAATATAATGGAAATGAAAGTCGATTCTGAGAACCTAATAATAATAGCTAAAAATAACCTTGGCTGTGTGCATTCAGAATTAATAGAAGTTGGGTATTTGTCCTTTTTAAATAATCCTTTGTTGGTTTAAGTACTGTACTTGACATTTACAAACGTAGCATTTTGACAATCCATTTTGGGGGTTGTTTAATGAAGGAATGTGAGAACAAAGGGACTATTTACAGGAACAGCCTGTTCACAATGCCCCAGTGGAAATGGTTCCTCGCGCTGTACAGAATGAAGAGAGAGAAAGGTTAAGATTTAGCCAAAGAAAAGACGCAAATAAACTCTGAATGAAGCTGAAGAATGCAGGTGATCCTGGTGCATACCAGCATTGGACTGATGCATATTTAAGGAGGAAAACCACATGTATACAGTTGAAGAATGAAAACAGGTGGCTCTGAGAAGATCAAATTAGAGCAAGGATTAAAGAAAGAAATCAAAGTGTAGAACAAGTGTGCATAATTTGCTCCAGTTTTCATTACCTTTGCTCTCCAGTGGAGAAGTAAATCTAAGGCACAAAATACATACAAGTCATTGAGTTACCTTCTGTTCTAGCTGCATGTACTTAGACAGCATGCCATGAATAGCATGTCATGAATGCTCTTTGGAATACCAGACACTGTTGTTAGTTATTTGTACTCAAGGTGTGTTAGGTGCCGTGAATACACATATTAAGCCACATCCCTGACCCAAGGAATTTGCAGTCTATATAGGCAACCCATAAAACAATTTTTCTTCTCATTCAGTAGCTGGGGAATGGAGGCACAAGACAGATTAAGTGACTTACCCAAGATCACACAGAGCAGGGAACTGAAACACAACACTGATTTCCTTCGTCACAAATCCAGGCCTTAATCACATAGCCATACTCCGCCTCGGCCCGGACTAGCTTGAAGGTTTTTCCAGCAATTCAACAGTAAGCATTTTCCATGATGAGGTGCTTCATTAAGCTATCCCTACAACCATCACAAAACAGTACGGGGTGTTTTGGTCCCAGCTCTGTTTCTCATCATAATTACAGAAACAATTCAGGACACAAACAGCCCTTCTTTTCAAAGGCAGTTAAGAATGTGTGTGGAGGGGGGAATCTTGGATAGTACTTAACAGTATCTTTCCACTCACATCCATGCAATCGGCTGTCAGATGGGATGGTAGCTGTATTATAATCCTTGTTGAATGAGATATATATTTTTTTCATCAAAGTGATCATTCTTAAGCAGGCTAAATAATCTTACACCTACCTGAGTGCAGACAATTTCCTTAGAAAGTTTACAGACTGTTTATTTCAGAGCCTGCCAATAATGATCAAGGATAGGGTCCAATCCTTGGGAGACCAGTGAGATACTTGGCTGTATTTCTGCTAAAAAAATGGCGCTGGAAATGAGAGCACATGAGCAGAAGGACCTTAAGAACGCTACTACTTTTTCTAAGAGACGTTTTACTGCTATTAATGAGCCAACCCTCCAAACAAACAAACTTTGGGATTGTGATCTGCTTTTGCCCCAACCTCTCTGGATACCTGCAGCACAAATATGTATTTTCTCCATGGCTGCTGACCACTATTTTAATTCCCTAGAAGGAGAACGTATCCTTTCCATCCAGTAGAGGGCAGCAGTATATATGCAGTACTGCAGGTGGGGGAGACAATAACCTAGTATTCATTTTCCAAAGAGAAGACCAGGATTAAGAGAGAGCTCGAGTCTGTGCAGAGCACTTTGTGTGTGAAAAGTTAATTAACACTGGCTCTGTTTTACAGATGAGGACAACTGAGGCAGACAAGCGGTGGGCCTTGTAGAAAGCTGCACAGCGAGTAAATGGCAAAGTAGGCAGAACCCAGGAGTTCTGGTGGACCACCTCTGCTCTCATTTCTCCAATCAACAAACTGAGACTTTCTGCTGCTGCTTCTGCTGGGGGTATGACTGCTGGTTAGGTCCTGTCAGTAGCACTGCCCACCCCGCCATTTCAAACATCATAGCTGTGTCTAGACTGCATCCCTTTTCCGTAAAAGGGATGCAAATTAGACACATCGCAATTGCAAATGAAGCGGGGATTTAAATCCCTCCCTCTTCATTTGCATAAACATGGCTGCCGCTTTTTTCCGGCTCGGACCTTTGCCGGAAAAAAGCGCCAGTCTAGACGGGGATCTTTTGGAAAATAAAGCCTTTTCCGAAAGATCCCTTATTCTTTTTTTTTAAGAGGAATAAGGGATCTTTCGGAAAAGGCTTTATTTTCCAAAAGATCCCCGTCTAGACTGGCGCTGATTTTCCACTTATGGCACTAAGGGCCTGGAATAAATATATATGGAAGACATGCAGCTGGGACTGGTTTACTTTCTTGAGTTACTGGTTCATAATATTTCAGAAAAGGCTTTATTTTCCGAAAGATCCCCATCTAGACTGGCACTTTTTTCCTGCAAAGCCCCGAGCCGGAAAAAAGCGGCAGCCATGTTTATACAAATGAAGCGGGGGGGGGGGGGATTTAAATCCCCGCTTCATTTGCAATTGCGATGTGTCTAATTTGCATCCCTTTTACGGAAAAGGGATAAAGTCTAGACACAGCCCATGAGATTGGCTCGAAAACTGCACTGTTGCAATTAGTTTAGCTTGCCTTCCAGTTGCTGAGTCACTGGGGTGTACAGGTGACATGTTTTCAGACTTGTGTTGTTGTTGCAATTATGAGAGCCAAAAGTGCACTCGTTTTTCAAAGAAAGCTGTGATTCCCACTTGACTCCAGAGCTGGGGCTTTAAGAACACGCCCTCCCTCCCCCAATCACAAGAATCATGGTAAAAATCACAAGAGCTGGCAACACTGTAGCAGATTAGAACGAGGGAATAGCCTGGCCCCCATGCAAGTTACCCATAGTGCGTGTCTACACAGCAAGCCGTTATTTCGAAATAATGTCAAGTTGGAGTTCTTCTTACTCCGACTCCTGTAACCCTCATATCATGAGGAGTAAAGAAGTCAAAGGAAGAGTGTTCCTTCTCCGACTTCCCACTTCGTAGACAGCCCCAAAAGCCGAATTAAGCTATTTTGATTCCAGCTACCAACTGACATAGCTCAAGTTGCATATCTTAATTCGGCTTTTGCCCTGCAGTGTAGATGTGCCTTAAATGAAGATCGGATACCTTTCTGCTTCACTCACGGATTATTGGGCTTAATAGTGTTTCCTTAGATCCCAGATCAGCAAAAGCATTTGAGCACATGTGTATTTATGTACCTGCTTAAGTGCTTTGCTGAATACATATGGACTATCTACATCAGGCCTTATGTAACAAGGAAGACCAATTCCCTTCACTTGGAATTCCATGGTCCACATTATGCAGGAGGTCAGACAAGATGATCATAATAGTTTTAATTTCAAAGACTCTATTAATAAATTAGATCTTGTGATATATTCAAAAAATGTGGATTTACAGGAATTAGGATTTGCAAAGTTAAAAAACAAAAACTAAAAATACCAAACTGATCCCAAACCTATGAGCTCTGGACAGGTTTATTTTTCCTCTCTCTCTTATCTCACTACGCAGGTGGAGATTCTTAGACTGAAAGAAGGAGTACATAATACGTCCTTATTTTTTTTTCTCCACACCAGTCATGATTGTATAGACCTCTAGCATATCCCCCCTCTTTTCCAGGCTAAAAAATCTCAGTCTCTCCTCATATGGCAGCTGTCCCATGTCCGAATAATTTTTATTGCCTTTTTCGGAACCTTTGCCAATTCCAATAGATCTTTTTGAGGTAAGCCAACCACATCTGCAAACAGTACTCAAATTGTGGGGGTTACAATGGATTTATAGAGAAGCAACCTGCTATTTTCTGTCTTCTTATCTATCCCTTCCTTAATGATTCCCAATGTTCTGTTTGCTTTTTTGACTGCCGCTGCACACTGAGCGGGTGTTCATGTCCATTATTTACATTACTCATTACAGTAGCATATGCCGTAATGAGTAATCTCTTTGTAATGATCCCTAGTGTGTTTTAACTGCTTCTATGTTAAACCCCACTAGGGACACTTTAGTGCACACCCACAGGGAGAAAATAACTCACAATACATTAATACGCGTTAGAAATCACTCCCCCACGCCTCCTGCCCATATTACTGCACCATGGAGACAAGCCCTTGATATAAGTAACCACTTCTTGTGGCTCTCCAGTCTTTAATCAGATAGACACCAATAGTGTTTTGGGTGGGATGTTTTCTCCGTGAACACTGAAAATCAGAAGCCCTATATGCAGTGCAAGCTACCTGATACAACAGGGCGCCAATCCTAACTGGGGCCCCTCGTCACAACCATAATGAGAATAATAAATAATATCGACTGGCCCGATTTGTGCTTTGACACCATTAATCGATATACACGCAAGTGCATAGGAGGATCTCGGTTAGAATGAAACATGCACCTTCTGCAATGAGAGAGCCCCAGTTCTGTTCTTTCCTGTGCCAATCACACTGAGCGGCAACCCCCATCTCCCGCTGCATGTCCTTGCTTAGAGTCCACAGAACAGCTCTGGCAGCATATTTAAGCAGATTGGAGGCCACACCTGCATAATGTAGCAGTCATCAGATCCCCGCGTGCTTGAAATATTTCAGTAGAGCCAGATTAAAGGAAGTAGGGGCCGGATGGGGATAGTTAAATAATCTCAGCCAGCTCTATTCACTTCAGCCGAGCTACTCCAGCTTTACATAGGAGACATGAGCGCAAGATATTTGGAGCTCCTGTTGGGACAGTCCTGGGCTGCAGTTTCCCTCTGGTCAGCCCTGGTGCAAGCAGGCTCGCACGTTTCATGCAGGCTGGCATGGTACTAATCAAACCATTATAGGTCTCAGCAGAACCTGCTCCGAGCGCAGGCATCCATCAAACCCACTTCCTTAGGCAAGACACCTGGACCGAGCTGGTATTGTGGAGGAGTGGGCTGTAGGGAGCGCTCATGTGCGCATGCAACCCCCACCCTCATGCCCACTCGATCCTGCTGGGTGCCATTGCAGATCAATTTCAGATTCAGACAGACACCAGCTCTCGTGAGCACTCCCCTTGGGGGCGGAGGGCAGGCATCACACAAGCAGGCGGGCAGTGCAGCTACACAACATGCCCACAGTCGCTTGTGCAATATTTAGTTTGTTCTGCTGAGACTGTGTTATGGAGGCACATGATAAAGTTTCAGGTAAATCAACATACTGGAGCCAACCCTGCATTTCCTGTCTTGGGTGGGGGGTTTTAACGGACTGACGTGTGGCTTATGCTCAGAGTATTCCCCATTCCCTGGCATTTTTCATAGGTGACCCAAAATGTCCAAACTTCACCTATTTGGAAGCCTGGGTCTTGGGGTACCAGGCTTTTGCTCACTGTGGGCCATGAGCATTTACCTGGGCTATTCTTTCAAGGTGCATCTAGCTTTATCTCACTTGGAGGAGGAGCCCTGGATGTGTGCATGGTTACTTTATACCAGTGTATCTTAAACTTTTTAAGACTGAGGCACACCAAACAATCATTTTTTTTATGAGGAACACAAAGGATTTTTTGTTGAAAAAAAGAAAGTGTGTGTGTTTGTGTGTGTGCGGGGGGGGGGGTTATTGAGGAAAAAAAGGGCTGGAGGGAAGTTATTGAGCAAAAAAAAAAAAAAGTTGTTTGCCCCTTTAAAGGTGGCCATTTTGAATCCTGTTGTTCGCCACGGAACACAGTTTAAGAAACGCTGCTTTATATAGTATGTGGATTGTACTTTATACCAATATGCAGTAACTAGCACCATTGGCACAACAGAAATAAGGTAGAGGGGTGTCGGGGGTACAAGGAAACTTTTAATTTTGCCAAAATGGAGAAGTGGTTTGAGGTTGACTTGAATCAAAACACTGGATTGATGCAGCACTAGTCTGTGTCCATCCATGCTTCATGGGGATGTAGCTCACTTCTGCTCCCATTCTCCTCTGTGGGCCAGGATGTCT